AGACCAAAGCTACCGGAGAAATTTCAATATAAGCATTCAAGTCTAATGATAGAAACAAAATTTTACTTATGTTTACTTATTTGGTCATGGTCTTATTACTATCTCAACCATCTTTAAGCCAAGTTGTGTCAACACTATTATAGAGAGTGAGCTGACCTGTATGCTGGAGTAAGCCCAGGATGGCAGCCGGTGTCAAATAGCCACAGTTCCCAAGCCAAGCTGGCCACAGGAGAGGTACACACAGTGGGTGTTGAGTCGCTAGGGCCCGGGTGAACTTATCCCAGCTCCAGTCAAGTCCAAGCTTGATCTCTGCAAAGGAAGTTGGCTTGACAAGCATGCTCAAGTCTTCTGTGCAACAAGGCCCTCCTCCATATCAGAGGGAACCCTACTCTCTGTCAAATTACCACAGATAGCAAGAGTGGTCTTCCAGAAGTGTGGCCAAAAAGGGATGCCAGGGCAACTGGGCTCATTTCTTCACCTCCGACGTAATAAACGAGGGAAGGAACCTCATGGAGCTGAGTTGCTGTTGCCTGCAAAAAAACAAGTGTTAGAATCTTGATACTATTTATGTGTATGGGTGATATCTAATATTGAATGTGGTTAGTAGCACCAATGTAATGTGTCTGGCCCAATATTTACAATTTGTAGAAGCTTTCTTTTTTCACTATATTTGAATATTTTAGTATCCTTTGAAGCCTTTATCTAATTGGCAAAGGTGGGCCATTATAGCGCTTACAATTCAAGTATGCTGTTACAAAATATAAAGTATATCCTCCTATCCTTAACTTATTCCACTCCCAATCATATATGGTAAAATTAAAGCAAAACCTATTGAGTAATCTGAGAAATGAATCATCTTTAACATATTTAAAAGTGAAAAGATAGGAAATGGATAATAATTGAGAAACCACTTGTAAAAGTGGGTCTCCTCGCCTCTGGCAGTAACCGTCAGCCTTACCACTGGTGGGGGGACATTCCGGACTGACCAAAGAGGTCCGATAATATATAACCCCAAAATTGAGAAACCACTTGTAAAAGTGGGTCTCCTCGCCTCTGGCAGTATCCGTCAGCCTTACCACTGGTGGGGGGACATTCCGGACTGACCAAAGAGGTCCTATAATATCTAACCCCACAATTGAGAAACCACTTGTAAAAGTGGGTCTCCTCGCCTCTGGCAGTATCCGTCAGCCTTACCACTGGTGGGGGGACATTCCGGACTGACCAAAGAGGTCCTATAATATCTAACCCCACAATTGAGAAGCCACTTGTGATAGCGATTCGTATTAAAATAACAGAATCCATTAGCCACACACACACACACACAGACCACTACCATTGCCACTGAGGAGTCACCCAAACCTATCAACTAAATGGGAAGAGTTGCCACTCTTCACTAACTCTAATTCAGAATTTGCCTCATTTTTCAAAACCGTCAAACCTATTCAATTCCAACAAATTAAAACCATTTTTCATATCCAAATCTTTTGCCTATAATTTGAATGTTAATTTGATGCTTGCCATAATTTGATCTCATACTCAAATATAGACATTAGCTCATTTCAGTTCAGAATCAACTTTATCTTTAAAAATAAATAAAGTACCATACAGGAGATATATGCCTATAATTAACTCATGCAAAAAATTATCTTATTGTGACAGAACAAATGTTAAAGGCCCTGTGGCCATAGTGCTTTTAAGATGGCGGCTAAAAGTGTGATATTGCAACTGCAAATGCTTGCATCAATGTGTCTGCAAAATCCCGCAATATTTGTTCTTTAGTTGCAAAGCTATTTTGATATCATTCGTTCTATAACCTAAGAGGTCATAGGTCACTGATTTCCATTGTTTCTTAAATGAAATATCAACAACCCTTTGTTTAAATACAACTTAATCACAAAAATTCAATCATATTGCCATGGGCGGGATAGCAGTGTTGTAAATACATTCACACCAAAGCTAAAAGTTCTACATGGTGGCGTGTTAATGCTGGTGGTATGTCACATGCCTTTTCATATATCTATGACGATTGTAAAATCATTGGTTTGATAACCTCAGTGTCTGCAAGTTACCAATCTAAACAATCAGTTGTTTCGTAGAGTAATATTGTGTTTTTGGAAGGAACTTAACAGGAAAGACATGCATGCCTTTTAAAACTTTACCATCTAGAATGCACAATGAAAAAGGTTTAAGCCCAAAAGCAAAAAATATATATATATTTAGCCAAAATTTATTTTATTCATATAAAATTTTATCCTCTATTTTCTAAATTTATTTTCATTGCATTAATTCACTTAGATTAGAATAGTATTCTCAATTTCTCCTTTGCTTAAAAATGTATAAATACAAATTTACCTATCACCAAAAATTATTCATGATACATGCTGAAGAATTTAATCAAAAATGTATGTGGTTGTATATATCATATAAAAATATCCACTAGCAGTGAATGCTGTGATCAAATCATATAACCAACTTTAAATCAACTGAAAGCTCTGATCACTTGGAGTGTTACCTTAAAGAGGTTAGACTCTATATTACTCTGGGTGTGGGCACATTGATCCAATAATTAGCAGAAATTGGAAGTGATTAGAGGTGTTGTAATTATAAATATTCATATTTATATAAAAAATAGACACTTCGGCCAGTTGGAGTTTTTTATTTTCTCAACGTTTCGACAAAAATCTTTTGTCTTCGTCAGGAGAAGTAAATAAAAATAAACATTTGGCAAGGCGTGAGAACGCCCTTGCAAACCTCAGAACAATTTTTAACGCCTTGCCAAATGTTTATTTTCATTTACTTCTCCTGACGAAGACAAAAGATTTTTGTCGAAACGTTGAGAAAATAAAAAACTCCAACTGGCCGAAGTGTCTATTTTTTATATAAATATGAATGCCGGCCAGGCAGCCTATATCTTTACGATATAAATATTCAGTACTTTATTCAGTAGAAATATTTGATTTATGTGTGAAAGAAAAAAACACTCGCATCTTAATGTTTTCATTTGCTATATATAGATGGCATGTCATTGCTTTATATTAATTCAGTACTTTTGTCTGAAGATGGTAACAACACTGTTACCGAAACATCACACACTATTTATTTATTTGGTCTTATTACCTTGTGTTTATAATCTATAAACCAAATTGTGACTTATCATACTCCTATTTCATTACACCATCAAACCCCACCTACCCTAACACAGCTAAATGTGATTTAAAAGAGGTAATAAAAAATAAGCCATTTTAAGATCTGAAGACTTCCACCATCTGAGTAAACTCTATATATAGCACGCCATTAAAGTATATATGATACAAACTCTCCCTAGAGTAAACCTATTTGCAGGGATAGAGGGTCCATTAGAGAGAGGTGTTCTCTTATTGGAGAGCAGCCAATTGGTAAAATAGGAATGATAGCAAAGAAAACTGCATAGAATTGTCTACTACTGTGAATTCTACTGAACGGTATGTGCAGTGAAAAAGGCCTAACCTAATGATGGTAGCTCTACCTGAGTATAGACTCAGAGGATGTTCCTAAGTTTGGTGATGGTAAAATATGATATAGAATCATTTTAACCCAAGATTCTGTATACTTCAACAATCAGCTCCTTGATAAGACCAACCTCCCTAGCAAGTGAAATCACCCAAACATGGCTGTGTTACATTTTGAGACAAGAGTGTAACTGCTTTCTACATCTGAAGACATGTGATGTATTTACAGGAGAAACAATCACAACCCCTTCCCTGCCCTTCGTAAATATTTTTGAGGCCTATATCATGTGTAATAAGGGGATAGTAACGATAAAAGTAAAATTGTTAAGTCATATCAACCAAACACAAATTAAAAGAAAATTTTCTAATTTAATTATAATCTATTCATAGTGAATGCTTTTCATTAAATAATATTAAATAATAATTAATTATATAAAATAATTTAAAATATATATGAAGTTTAATTGAATATGGTAAGCAGTTTAAAACTTATTTTTAACTTGGTGTTGATTTATATTAATCAAACATGGGGAAATGTTACAGGTAAACACCCTTCTAAACTAATTACCCCCAATCTAAGATTGAAAATGAAATGAAACTACACTTGCCAGTCAGAATAAAATTGAATTGAAATAACTTTACTTTTACCTCGCTAAATATTTTAACATTTCTATTTATTTTCATATTCATCTATCTTATTTTTGTAATATGTATTTTCCTTTAAAAAGGACAAATTATATGCGTTTTAATTAATATAAACCTTTGAATAAACATATTTAAGAATTAAACTTTAAAAAACTACCAACCTTGAAAATCAAAGATTTGTACATTTGAAATATATTTTTGAGGCCGAGTTACAAGCACAAATTTCCAAAACTTATTGATTATATCCTTGTTAGTATCATTGGAAAATGGCTTTAACTTTCGCTTCACTTGGTGATATATTCGCTTAAATATTTTTTTCATTATTTTTAAATTCATTAAATTCAAAATTTCCTTCAAATTCCCTCAAACGCTTTTGTTTACTTACAAATTTGAAAAATATTCAACAGAGTAAAATTATTTATGATATTTTTAATTAATTAATAATTAATTATTATAATGTTGGAAAAATGTATATTAAATTATATATGTATATAATATTGTATAAATAAATAATTAATTATTTTTTTATTTCAATTAAGGCATTTTATTTCATTACAGAATATTTTTATTTTTAATAAGAACATAAACGACATTTCTGATTATATTTGAAATTTCTTTTAGATAAATTATTTATATATATAATGAATTTTTAGGCTCTTAAATTTTTTATTTGAACATATTAATATTTTATAAAGGACTGCGGCGAGTGATTATAAACAATACTTAAAGTCACACCGCATAAGTTTCTTTTTTGTGAAAAATCAATATTTATTTCAAAGAGAAATATTTACTATTTCTAACTTTTTTTTGAATGAAGTATGAGAGGGTGAAAATATGAAGAGTAATGGCGAACGGAAAAATAAAAGTGTCCAGGGGCGGGAATCGAACCCACAACCTCCTGCTTACCCACAACCTCCTGCTTACCAGGCAGGTGCCATGTCCACTAGGCTACCCTGGACGTATTCTTCCGTTCGTAAATAATATTTAAAGTAACTTATAATACATTATAAAGGACTGCGGCGAGTGATTATAAACAATACTTAAAGTTACACCGCATAAGTTTCTTTTCTACGAACAGAGAAATAACGTCCAGGGTAGCCTAGTGGACATGGCACCTGCCAGGTAAGCAGAAGGTTGTGGGTTCGATTCCCGCCCCTGGACACTTTTATTTTTCCGTTCGCCATTACTCTTCATATTTTCACCCTCTCATACTTCATTCAAAAAAAAAGTTAGAAATAGTAAATATTTCTCTTTGAAATAAATATTGATTTTTCACAAAAAAAGAAACTTATGCGGTGTAATATTAATATTTAGCGCATTTAATGACTACATTAGAAGTCCTGAAAATTTATTTATGATAGCCCTTAAGCCGTTTTTTGAGATATATTATCATTATGAAGTTTTTATTAAATCAAAAAAGCGTTTCTCAAGGCCCATTCAAATGTGTATAGCCATGTAGAGTTCATATGTCATTAATAATGTGGAAAAATCACAATGATATATTCAATGTGTATTTCGTCTATTTCGAAATAAGATATATGTTTTAAACTTTTAAAACAAGTTATGCGCGCGCGCACACACACACACTAATGGCTACATTAAAAAAAAAACATTTTCCACTTTAATACCAACATTTTTATTTTCAATTCATATTTTCCTATTTTTAAAAATATTTTAGCAAATATATCCCCACAGGAGACCGAGTAGACAGCCCCGCAAGAATCGACTGGATTGAGAGGTTTCGCAGTTTTAGTTATGGGATTTCTGTTGGATGTATAAATGTCTGGTGGCTGTTGAAGTAGGTATTGATGCCATGTGTTCTTAATATTCTAGAGATAGAAACTGCATGGGGGGAGTATGGTGAGGCACAAGTATGTCTATAGGATGAAGTGGATTTAAATGGGTACTGCGAGTATAAATGTTTAACTATGAAGGGAATAGGGTAACCGGCGGAGATCAAATTAGAAATAATTTCTGATTTTTCTATTGTTTTAAAAATAGTGAGGGAACAATGGATATGCAAACGTTTAGTGAGAGTTCTAACTGTGTTAATTTTATGCGATTTAGGACTATAGGATTTAAAATGTGTGTAATGGGGGGAAAGTTTGGTTTGTAATATACTGTTGTTTGATAACTGCTATCTGTACTAACGATCAATATATCTAAAAAGGGGAGAGCATTAGATTGTTCTGTTTCATATGTGAATTTTAAGTCCAGATGGAAAGAGTTTAAGCCTGAGAGGATAAGATGGTTATGGCTAGACTTACAAATACAAAATGTATCATCTATGTATCTCCTCCAATAATAAATATCGGAGGAAAAACTACTATTAATATATTTATCTAAAGTTATCATTACCAACTCTGAAACAATGGAAGACAAAGGGCTACCCATTGGGGTACCTCTTATCTGTTTATAATACTGGGAATTAAACGTGAATATACTCTTAGAAAGACATAGCTGTGTTAACTGAGTTATGGTACTATTTAGTTTTTGGTGAATCTGAGATGAGTGAGTGTGGCAGTGAAAGATACAGCGATGTTATATCAAATGAGATCATATTATAGTCAGGTGGGGGTTTCAGATGCAAAAATTCCTGTATAAATGCGGGGGTATTAGAAATTGAATGTGGGCCTGGATTGGATTTTATCAATGGAAATAGGAAATTAGTTAAATATTTAGATAAAGGAAAGGCTGGAGAAAGATACCTCCACGACCTGTAATAGCTTACTACCTTTCTCCAGACTTTCCTCTATTTAAATATTTAACTAATTTCCTATTTCCATTAATAAAATCCAATCCAGGCCCATATTCGATTCCAATACCCCGCATTTATTCAGGAAGTTTTACATCTGAAACCCCCACTGTGACATTAACTTGTCTTCGTAGTTAATTAAAAACTAACAAAAACATTAAGCAGACTAAAACGTAATGTATTTATTGTATTACAAACTAGACAACATATATTTATTTGAAAAAACGAAATAAAAAAATAAAAAATAAAAAGATCAGGTGTTGAAATCAATATTAAAAAATTTTTCGTTTTTTCAATGTGCTAAGCGTATTTACGCAAGTTTGGCCTTAAATACCCATTTCTTGGTTTTTCGGGAAGCCATTGGGATCAAAAAATATTTTTTGGTCTCAATGGTTCAGCCTACTCCACGCTGACGAGCGCCAAAAAGCGCGAAACGCGTTCGTGGATGGCTTTTCTTGATTTATCAAGAAATTGGGTTGGCCAAATATCAGGGAACAGGCTAAATCAATGTTTAGTTGATTTCTGTTCCACCAGATGGCGCTCTGCCTTCTGTAAAGCACATGTGCTCCTGGTCAGGATATGCCATTTTTAATATATATTTATTTATGCAAAAGAGTTATTCCTTTTGTTTATATATGCGCCAACTTGGCTACTGATTATTATTGACTTTAATATTACTTTTATATTTACATCTCCCCTTTTTTTTTTCAAAGGTTCAGCCGGGAGACTGGCTTGATGAGGCGTCCAGACTTTGTTCTTAAAGGGTGATGGTCAGTGGCCGGTAAAGTCTGTGATGGCTCCATGGGCTCCGTTGATGGGTGGGGTCCCTTGTCAGTCTTGTCCAGCAGAGTCGGCACAGGTGGGGGTGATGCGTGCTCACTTTCAAGTGGAGGAGGACCATTGTTTTCCATTTCCTTATGATAGTCCATGGATGAAGTCTGAGCCTCTGGCTCAACATGAAAAGGTCTCAAGAAGGCTTGATTACGACGCAATATCCTATCTTGAGATCTCACTGCATATGACCTAGGACTTAACTGCTTGACTACAGTAGCAGGAGTCCAGACTCTTTCACGCTCTTTCAAGAACACTGGTTGATTTTCCGAGAGTTGCTGATGTGATGTAGAATGCATATCACCATAAGATTTTTGTCTTTCGCGAGCGTTTCTAAGAATTTCACTAGTTTTCTCCAGTACAGATGGTTCCAAAAGATCTTCTTTAATTGGCAACACGGTTCTGGTTCGGCGACTGTAAAGTCGTTGCACAGGTGAACCTAATCCTTCTCTTGGGGTGTTTTGATAGTTCAACAGTGCCATTTGGATGTCTTCTTTTCCTCTTTCACATTTTCTAAGAAGACTTTTTGCTGTTTGAACGGCCCTTTCTGCCAACCCATTGGACCTAGGGTATAGAGGGCTAGAGGTTTGGTGGGTAAATGACCATTCCTGTGAAAATTGCTTGAATTCTCTTGAACAATAGTTGGCACCATTATCAGTTTCTAGAACCTTTGGGATCCCATGTTGGGCAAACCATTCCTTTAAATATACTATTGTTTCTTTAGAATTTAATGATTTAAGTTCTTTAAAATCAATATATCCAGAATAAATATCAGTTACCAGTAAATAATTGTGGTCATTATACATAAAAACATCTGATGCTACAATCTGCCATGGAAATTTGGGTATTTCCTTGTTAATGATCGTTTGTTTTTGATTACTCCTGGAATTGGAAATGCAAATCATACACCTTTCCCATGGTGTTGAAAAAGTGAAGTATGGTTGTGTTTCTTCATCAACTGGGAGTTGCCAAAAGCTTTTCTTTAAATCCAGTTTGAGAAGTAATTGGACTTGTGTGTGTGCAAGGTGACTGCAATGTCCTCCAGTCGTTTGAGAGGAAACTCTCTTCGTAACAAAATCTTGTTTAAGTCTGAAGGATCAAGACATATCCTTATCTTTCCGTCCTTGCGAACTATCACCATATGACTGGAGATGCGAGTGGGGTTATTCACTTTTTTGATTATGCCCAATGCTTCCATTTCATCAAGTTCCTTCTTGACATTAGCTTTAATTGCAAACGGTATCTTGCGAGCAGGTTTAATGGGCAATTTTTTTGGAATTTCTGAAAAGTCAGCTTTATATTTATAGTTCCTTATAAGCCCTATACCTTTAAACAATTCTCCAAATTCCATTTCTGGACAGACTTCATCAACCCTGTAGATCAAGCCTAACTGTGAGCAGGCATCTCTTCCCAGAATCGGAGTGATTCCTTTTTCTGATATTATAAATCTGAGAACTACTGCCTTACTTTTTATTGTGCAAGTAACATTTGTCTCGCCCATTGCCCTTATTGATTCACCAGAGTAAGTTAATAACTTCCTTACTCCACTTGAATTAATTTTTAGTTTAAGTTTTTTAGAGAGTGTCAAAGGTATGACATTGCACTGAGCTCCAGTGTCCAATTTAAACTCAACTGTTTGATTTCCTTTGAACGCTACTCTTTCCAACCACTCTTGTCCATTTCGGGTCTTTATTTCATTTATTGAGAGAGAAAATTCATCCGATTCCACCTCAGTATCTTCTACAAGGTTTACCACTCTTTCCCTTTTGGCAGTTTTGCATAATTTTGAGAAATGGTTAGCCTTTTTACATTTATGGCATACTTTACCATATGCTGGGCATTTGTTTATTTCATGTTTAGCTCCACAACGTGTACAATTATTTATAAGTTTCTTATCTCTAGGATTAAAGGCTTTCTGTGAGAAATCCCTACTAATTTTTCTTTCGATTGTGGAAATGGATGGTTCATTTTCGTTCCTATCTTTAATTTCTCTTAGTTGTGTATTAGCATTTTTAGCAGCTACACATATTTGAATTGCTTTAGTTATATTCAGATCTGGATCAGAAAGTAATTTTTCTCGAACATCATTATTTTGTATACCAACAACTATTCTATCCTTAATTAGTTCATCCTCCATTTGATCAGATTAACATTTTTTTGCTTGTAATTTAACCTTAGTTAGGAATTCTTTAAAAGGCTCGTTACACTGCTTTATATTATTAAACTGATACCTTTCTACAGTATAATTTAATTTAGGGGTAAAGTATTCATTAAACTTACCCGTGAGTTCTTGTAACTTATTTTCTTCACCTTCATTCAACTTGAACGTTTTATAAATTTTCTGGGCCAATTGTCCAATCGAAGCCATAAAGATCGCTACTTGGACTTCTTGTGGTTTCTTTTCTAATTGTACAGCTTTTTCGTACCATATAAATGCTTCTATCCACTCGTCCCATGCTTCTTTTGATGATTGCTCCAAAGGCTTAGGCGGCTTTAAGAATTGGTCAGCCATTTTTACACGAACACTAAATTATTTTAATTATTAATTTATGCGATTACCGCTGCCACCATGTGA